TTTTAATTTTTTAAAAGTCTATATTGAAATATATTTTTATAAACATGATAGAACATGGTATAAATTTTTTCCATATCAACTGACTCCTTTAGACTATAATACAATTTTCTTCGGTGATTAACTTAAAACTCAAACTCAACGTCATCTCCTACAAAATTGAGACTTTACAACAGATTCAACATGTGGGTTATGGTATAAATCTCCTAGTTTAATACTGATAAATTGTCTTTGAACAAATAAATACTATATTAATACTATATTAATATATGTATATGATAACATTGTTATGGTGGAGTTATTCTCACACATGTCACATTTTAAACTTAACTTATTAATATATTTTTATATTACATTTTTTTTTAATTTTTGTATTTTTTAATTAAATTTTAAAAAATAGAATAATTAATTAAAATAAAAAATAACATTAATAATAATAATAATAATAATAATAAAAGAAGTAACAATAATACCATTCACTGCCTTAAGGTGAGGCCGTGTGGGCACCAGGCTGTGTTGTTATTATTATTAAATATAAATAAATTTGTGGGGTTTGCTTTCGTCATTTATGGCTGTTAAAGCACGTAGGTGGGGAGAAAGTCTACAATATCCCGGGTATGCCACGTGGGATGTGTCCCGAACCAATAATATTCTGACACGTTTTAGTTTGTGGGGCCATAAAACACCAAAAACTAACGTCGTTTCTTTGCCTTCCTTCTTCCTTTCTTTGGGCCGTTTCTACTACTTCCTCTCTGTTTTTTTTTTTTTTTTTTTTTCTTTGCTGCGTTTACCTGCTCCCTTTGAAAGGTTGAATAACCATGAAACACATAAAACTAACACCATTTCCTGTTGTCATTTTTCCTTTCTTTCGCCTTGCGTCTTCCTTCTCCTATCGGCATTTCCTTTCCTTTTCATTCCCCACTCTTTTCTTCTCTCAAGGATACAAGAGGGATTGCTCTTAAAACACCTTCTTGTGATGATTAGCATCAATATCGACTGTGGAATTTGGGGAAAAACAAAAATGGATGGGTTTTGGAGAAGTGATGAAAGAGGCAGATGATAGCCGTCATGGTCTGGTGTTCAAAAGCACTGTAAGCAGATAAAAACTTATTTTACAGATCGCCAAAGCATTTAAATTCATGATTTTTGAAAATGTACCTCCAAAGTCTCAGCCTTCCTTCACATTTCCCCAATTGAATTTCAAAGTGAATTTCTGTTGTTAATTGATAATAATAATATATAAAAGAAAAAGCTGATGATAAAATATTTACAGAAAAAAATTTAATAACTGTAAAAAGATAAAAAGAATCTCATAAATCATTTTGTTGGAGCTACACAAAGAAAAAGAAATGGTTATTCAACTTTTAAGAGTAGCATGTAAATGCAGCGAAAAGAATAAAAAAATAGAAGACAGAGAGGAAGAAGTAGAAACGGCCCAAAGAAAGGAAGAAGGAAGGCAAAGAAACGGCGTTAATTTGTGGTGTTTTATGACCCCACAATATAAAACGTGTCTGAATATTATTGGTTTGGGATACGTCCACGTGGTATACCCGGGATATTGTAGACTTTCTCGTAGGTGGGGCTCTTTTGGTTACTACTCTAACGATAATTACTTTACTACCCAGTTTACCCAGCCGAAAACATGCAAAATTTTGACCAATAGTTGGGGGCAGGAAGATATAGGTTTTTTTTTTTTTTTTTTTTCGGTGACAAAAGCGATGATTAGTAAGTTAGGTTAGTTAATTGTTAGAAATTGAAAATTTGATTCCTAGATGAGGGTGAATGCCACCACCTCTTTATTAAAAAGCGCAATCCAACCAATAGACCGCATGGTGGAGTTAAGGAAGATATAAGTATGAATCATCTATTTACTTATAATATTTGTATTTGACTTAAAACGAGAAAAGTACAAGAATTTAATACCTAATCTTTATTTAGGTATTAAAAATCTATAATTTTTACTTAATTCATTTGGTATAGATATATTCACAAGTATAATTTTATATTAGTTGAATGTTATAATATTTAATAATAAATATAATTAAATTTATTTCAAAACATATAATTTAGTTCATATATGATATATATACATAAGTAAATACATGAATTCATATTTATAATGAAATACATAATTTAAAACACAAACAAGTTCATATATATAACAAAATACACAAATACATATATTTCATAAAACAAAATACATACAAACAAAATTGCATAAAATCTTCCTTGCGTGAAGAAAAAAAAAAAAAACATAAACCTTCCAATTTCATGACATTATATTAGAAAATTAACCATACAATCAAGAGCAACTCCATGTTTTAATTTACTCAACATCTCTTTATGTCTAGAATATGATCATTATATTGCAAAATTTTAGTATAGTTAAAATTTTTTTGTATAAATTATAATGATATTTCTACATAATTAATGAAATATTTTAGTTTAAGTTCAAAAATATACTCACATATTGCTAACTATTTCTACAATTAAGATTTAATAGAATCTCTTTGCTTTTAGGAGGTAGAAATAGAACTCATTTCTATAAATAGAAACAAAGAAAAAGATTAATAATGTATTAAGTACATTTAAAAACTTCTCATAAATATATATGTATATATATTTTTTGAACTGAAGCTAAAAACTTCTCATAAACATTACTAATGATGAAGTTAAAAATTTTCATATTATATATATATATATACATATATATATATATATTTAAGTATAAGTCAAGTCAGATATACAAATTATGACTTTCATACTTAATACTTAATTTAATATTTGATAAATATGTATTTTTTATATTTAATATTTAATTATCTCTTTTTAAACATAAGTATATATATAATTTTCTCTTTATAAAAAATTAAAAACAAGTAAAATATCTATCCAAATACATCATGTTCCGACCAATATCAGATATATCAACTCGAAGTTCAGCCCTACCCATAATATCTTCCGTCCCAATTCGACCACCTCGACCAATTTGAGGTTTGAACCCAAAAAGAGTTGTGCCATTTAAGACTAGTTTGATATAGCGGTTTTGCAGTAATGATTAGTAATTTTGGTTAAATTGTTAAATATAAGTGTTTAGTAAATTTATATACTTTAAAATTATTATAAATAAGGTGTTTGATAAAAATTTTTATTTAATGGTTTAGGATTAACAGAAAGTTGTTAGAATCCAAATCATTAACGTGTTGAAAAAATTAATTTAGATAATTTTTTTACCAAACCGTTAGTGGATTGAAAATTTTTAATTTTATTGACAAATTTATTCATTTTAATTTTTTATCATAATTTTTAATTAATATTTATCTAATAAATTTCAATTGTGTTTTTTACCTTTAATAACACTAAATGATTATAATATTTTTATTTTTTGCATTAATTTATCATTAAAAAATATATTATCTTAAAAAACAAAATTTACTAATTAGACAAAATGATT